TACGAAGCAACGTTCACACATTGGAAACGATGGTCATCGGAGAGTTCGTGAGGCACCCAAACACCTTCTTTATGGAATTTTCCTGTATTACTTAGATGTGTACGTATTGTTTCATGAGAAACATGCAGTTTCAGGGCCATTTCACGAGTGTGTTACCTTGGGTTAGACTCAACAAGCGTCTTCAGAGCATCAATATCAATTCTAACATGTCGGCCCCTGCCATCACAGTTTTATTTGTAATCGTATGTTAGTTAGTGGTAGGGAAGCTATAATAGCTCCGCGATATCATACTTGTATCACCAGTTATATTCTTACCAGTCACATCGACCCTATCCAGTAGCTACTTCATCTTGACGTTACATTTAATCATTAATATAAAATGAAAATAAATTCAATGAAAATATTTTCTGTAGTACGATCTGTCCTAGGATTTCTCCCAAGTTTGTTATATCTCCTGTATTTTTCTTTCTGGATCATTACCACATGGACCAGATGGAGTGTTACGTTTCAAGTCAACGTACAACCAACCGACAACATGAAACTTCATAATATTACAAAAATATCTCAATCTGATTCCGTTTTGTTCACGAATTCTTCTGTTTCGGATTAGTTAATAGTTTGAGAGATTACAAGCATGAACTCAGACCCCGCTAAAGGTTAATACTAATATCTTATAGCTGGACACTGCTCTCTTGTTTTCTTTTCCTTCTAGAGTTTCATCAACATTATTTCATTAAACCAAACTTTTAAATTATTATACCGTTTATATAAATATCGTTTCATAGTCTTTTGTTTCTCATCGTCCAGTCCAACTTATGACTTCTGATATTGAACAAAAAGCTTCTTTGGCTACGATTTGTGGGAGACAAAAGATAAATCTGACATTTTTACACACCTCTGATTTCGAGCCTTGATTAATGTACACATTTAGAGTAATGTAGACAAAACATCTGCAGTTATTTTAATTTTTATAACAACTCCTCATTGAACACAGTGCATTCATTTTCACACTCGTGGTGTGCTGAAATAGCTTTTTTTTTTACGTGTGTTTTACCTCAAGTATCATTCTCATAAAATATAACATTATTTAAAACTGATTGCTTGTTCGGTTATTTTCAACAATAATGAGTTATTTGTAAGATCATACGTAACGTATAAATAAATATTTTTTGGAAAAGGTAGCACCCGAAAAGTGGTGTTAGAAAATTATATTTTCTTTTTTTTTATATTTGAGGGAAGTTTTTAGATTTAAAGTTTTAGAGTACAGTAATTATAGTTAACAAGTTTTGTTTCTTGGAAGGTTGGACATGATATTAGGAACCGCTGGATCAAAAGCCAAGGATGTTTATGATTCCAGGATTAGCTTGTCCTCAAGGATCGTTAAAGTAGAACGTTCGGTGAGTTCATAGTTCAGTTGAAATAGAACAATATAAAATACAACTCAGTATTGGTGATATTTGTTGACATCCAACGATTATGTATGTTCAGCAGCTTTTTTCAACTTAATATTTCCACATCAAATCTAATCACTAATATTAGTGATATTAGTGTCTGAAGATTTAGGTGAAGGATAACATTTGACGATACAAAACCGACTTTATTTGTAATTTGTTGTAATGTGTTAATACATTTACTAAAATACTTTTTAGTAGGGCCAAAGTATTTTTCATGGTCGTTATTTTTTTCTTTCCATATATGTGTTCCGCCTTTGTTTTTTATATAACTGTGCTAACAGTAAAAGCTGTAGGTTGTGTGGTTCTCCTGCCAACATATTTTGTGCCAGCCCTGTGTATTGAAGATTTCTACAGTTTGAAGTCTCAGCCGTATACTAGCACCAGTAAACGGTTTATTATTATTTTGGGCTTAAGAATAACACTGGCGATAACACTTTAGAGTAACCTTTGGTAGATTTTCCTTTTGTAGTAATATTATGATTGATAAATCTGTAATCATTTTTAATTTCCTGGTAATTTTATTTACATTTTAACTATATTTTTAACTGTGATCCCTTTAATGTGGAATTCCATGGATTAAGTTACTGATCTATATGCGTAACTAGGTTTTCTAAGATTGGACGTAGATAGCGATTTAACTGTTAAGTTGTTACAGTTTGCAACCAAACAATAAAATCTCGTACATAAGGAAGAGCTATAGGACAAAATCGATCACTATAAAAATATTAAAACAAATTCTATGAACGATACTTGAAGTTAATGTTCATTGCGATTCTGAAAACTACTACAAAAGAAAATAGTGAATCTAAAATCTGATAAACTTACATTTAGGCCTATTACTGTTAACTTACTTAGCTATAGTATATATCACATTGAAAAAAGGGCTCAGAATATTTTAGTAGCCTAAACGACGTAACAAGGCCAAAATCTATAAAATGTGGTGATATATTCTTTCATTGTTAGATCCAATAACACTAATCTTTCACTTTTGATTGTTGTATCGTTTAGACTTGAGTCTTAAAGAGTCCAAAATCAACACAAAAACTGACGAGGATCGATAGCTCTTTTCGTTAAACTTGGTCAAAATCTTAGCTACTTTAGCGCAATCAATAACCAGAAATATATTAATAAGGGCAGTAACAGACAAAGAAAACAAGATTTTACAAAAGTGTGTAAGCTTCAAGATGAACTTCATTATCATCTGAATTACCATTTTGAAGATCTAAAACAACAGATTTTGTTTTCGAAAACGAAGAAGCAGAAGAAGTTTTTCTTATTTTCACTTCTAGTTTTCTTAGTATTATTATTCATTTATTTTTGGAAACTCTCTTCGTCCATTTTTATTTACTAACTTTCGCTTGGTGAACATCTCATCGTAGTCATATCTACATCAATCGCATTTATTTCACGTGAAACACCTTTTCACTTTACACTTGCAAGTAACAGGATGCTTCGCTAGTGTTCTACATCCGTTTTTATGCTTTAGAACAAGAAATACCACACACAAAAAAGCAGTCGACGTTTGGTAGACAATGAAAAGTATTGGTGAAAGGAAGGGCAAAGAATGTTGAATATCCCCCAAGTCAAAAGTTACCAACGTTTCCTCTTCCGAGAATGAAAGGCATAAGTTACAGCTATTGTTCTAGCATATTTTTAGTGAATTTGAAATTTTTTGGATGCTCCACTCCCCACATTTATCATCAGTATGAGCCTTGTTATGCTGCAAACAGAAGGTCAAATTAAAATAACATAAAATTTGATAAATTAACGTTAAAGATGTAGGAAAATTAGCTATAATTTGTTTATAACCTTGAATTGGAATTTACCGTATACGCACGTGGGATAAACGGCCAGGTCGTTCAGGTATAGACGTCTTTAATTTTGGAATATTGACCGGAAGGAAAGAAACCAGTAAGGAGCATCCGCCACCACAAGGGCTTTTTTCGAGTTCCGTGAACCAAATAATGGTATTGACTGTTACTTATAAAACGCCCCAGTAGCTAAAAGTGTAAAGGATGCTTAGCGGTATCATGTTTCGTACGCTGGACCATTCGATATACGCAATCCGACACGCTAACCACTAGGCCCAAAAATGTCCTTGAAATTAGCTCTTAATTTTGCAGTTTCTGTTACTTTTTCTTTATAAAAGTACGATAAAATAAATGTTTAATACTTTTATTTATGTCGCTTTTGTTGCGAGAACTTTATAATGTTTCTACAATATTTAAACTTAGAATGTGATAACCGACACAACCACCTAAATCTAATTACTAAGAACTTATTGTTTTTATTATTAGTCAATAATTACTAACTAGTTTATAATCCACCAACAACTTGTAAAGTTATAGAGACCTTAAAGAACGTACCTAAGAAAGTAAGAATTTCTACGATAATATAAATCACCTTTTTCTGTATTTACACAACTTACTTCTAACATTAATAAAAACATTCTCGACAGCAAGGCCTAGCCATAATCTCGCCACTCGTTAACACTCAGTAACCTCTATATGGAACAATTTGAAGATAACGCTATCCGAATAATTGCACTAAGATAGTGGTTCCCAATCTGGGGTTCGCGAAGTTAATACCATCTCATTAAAAAAGAAAGTTTTTAATACTACTTTTTTAATTGCACACTCAGTTATATATGTCTTTTATTTGATAGTGAAAAATGGAAAACTACTTAATTATTAGTTAATAAAAACAGTTTGTTTGGTAGACGGAATCTTTCAAAAACATGGGAGTCTGTGGAGAAAATAATAATAATAAAGGGGTCCTTGGTGGTGAAAAAGTTGAGAACCACTGCTCTATGATATAGGATTTTGCTAAGATATATTAACTATACATTCGTAATATGGCCGTACACTACTACAGACAAAGTTTTGGAATTCGTGAACCGTCAAAACAGACAACATCTAGCGATACAATTTACGATTGAAATGGAAAAAAAAAAAATCCATTTCTAGTTGTGACAGTCACCAAGGCATAAAACTCGCATATCACAGGAGTTTACAGAAAACCCACAGATATAGGTAAATAGTTTGACTGTAGATCAAGTCTTCCCAAGAGTATAAAAATGGGCATCATGAACTGTCGAGTATCCAAAATGAATAACATTTGTAAAAGAAGATGGTACCAGATACGAATGAGGAAAGGCACATTACTAAGATATTCTTCAATAGTGGGTACCTTGAATACCTGGTAAAGAAGATATGAATAAGGCAAATAGAATAAAAGCGAAGAAAAGGACAGACACAAACCATATTACTCTATGTTAAAGGTCTCTCTGAAATCATACAAAATATATACAAACAATATAAAGTAATAACAGTATTCAGAAGTCGCAGTACTTCTGAATGATCGCAGTTGATACCACAGAAAGTGACCCAAAGATCTAATTGAGAGCAAAAACCCCTTTTACAACATCTTTTATGAATGTAAACTTAATACAGAATTCAGAAACACACCAAAACATACAAGACTGTAATACCTATCTATCTACAATAGCACATCATGGCAGAGAAGAAAACCATACAATAAACTGAAATAACAATAAAATAATGGGATAAGAACTACACATGAGAAAAAGGAGAGATAAAAGAAGCCTTTTACATTCACCTAACTGATAAAACATTCAGTCTACCTAGCACAAAAGAGAGCAAGAGGAATTACTTCCATCCGAAACCATTCAAATAGTTTGTTGATTCAAGAAACACTGTAACCAGAACCAATATTATACTAAGGTCAAATTTGGGTTTCAAACTATAACTTCTAATTATATATATATATCTGTGTGTGTGACAGTGGCGTAGCAAGAGTTCTCAGCACCCGGGGGCAAAGACAATTTTGGCACCCTCACCTCTGAAATGTTTTGATTATTTGTTTTGTGACTCGTTACCCACTTAATGACAATAACCTAAAGAATTAATTACCGCCTTACACAGGCCTAAAATAAAGTCACAATATAACATCTCACGATATCGCAACTGTAAACCTGGAACTAATGAAGTATAGCCTACTAGGTGTACTTACATAATTTGTAGACCATTTGGATATTTATGTCATGTATTGTTCAAAGTCACATAGCTAGAGTAATCTTTCATGCATGCAGAATAAATTTCTGTTATATCCCTAGTTTTGAAACTTATGTTTTAAA